GCCCTCTGGCATCCCAAGCCAGCTCTTAACCAACGCGCCACTCGGCCGGCCTGTTATGTGTCATTTTTAAAAATCTTTTAGGTGCTTTGCTATTTTATTTTTTAGATAATTTTATATTTAAAAAATCAAGCTTCAAAATAAGAATTTTAGCAACCAGAATACCACTTAGTATTTTATAAGGTAGGAAAGGAGTAAAGCCTCTGGCTAAAGAAAAGAATATTTGGTTTTGTTTAGTTTTTTTGCAGTAAACTTTTGATGGCTTATCAGGGAAACTTACTGAGAACTATTTACTGGTAATAGTGTTTGCTTTGAAGTGTGACTACAAAGGAGTAAAGCTTGCTTGCTTTCCCAGCCTCAGTATTACACAGTGTTAACCTCATGTAGTCACACTTTGCATGTGCAAAGCATTGACAGTTGCTAGGTTTAATGAATATTTCACAGTGATTAAAATTTAGAGATTAAAATATACTTTATGTTAGAGGTTTCCTTCTCTTTGCCTTAGCTCTGAAATGTCTCTGAAAAGGTCTTTCATTTAGATTATAATCTAATTGGATGGCCCTAGTCAGCCTTTTAAGCAAATGCTTAGGTTTAGAATGGCTGGTCAACACTTAGCCAGGAGGTGGGAGAACTCTAGGAAGAAAGACTGCATGTATTTATATAATACATCAATGAAGGATTAATCCCCTTAAACTTTTTCTTTCTGAATCTTCCTTGCAGATTAGATAGATATGACTTAAATGCAATTGTGTAGAGTTGTCTTTGGAGGACTTCTTTTTTTAACTTTTTAACTTGAATTAACAAACATGATTATATTTGGGTTTATTTTTCTTTTGATAAGGACCCTTTTAAAATGTAAGGCTGGACATAGTTTTAGAGGAGAATGGGTGTGGCAATGATCCCTTTTTCTTTTATGGAAATAGGGTATTATTTTAGCTTTATAATTTTTTATAAAACTAAGAATAAACTTCTGGAAGGTCCGCTCTTGTAGAGTGTACACTCTGAAGAAGCAAGTAGTGGCACTGACTCCTTTAGCTTTAAAAAAAAATTACTTTGATCTTAAAACTAGTTTTATTTTATTGAGGTGAAGTTCACATAACATAACATTAACCATTTTAAAGTGAACAAGTCAGTGGCATTTAGCAAACACCACTTTTATCTAGTTTCAAAACACTTTGATCATTCCAAAATAAAACCCTATACCCATTAAATAGCTACTCCTCATTCTTTCCCTCCCCAGCCTCTGGCAACCACCAATCTGCTTTCTGTCTCTATGGATTTACCTATTTTGCGTGTTGCATATAAATGGAATCATACAATATGTGTGACTTTTTGAGTCTGGCTTTCACTTAGCATAAAGTTTTCAGTGTTCATGCACTGTGTAGCATGAATCAGTACTTCATCAATTTTTATGACTGAGCACTATTCCATGTAGGTATGTGCCACATTTTGTTTATCCACTCATCCATTGATGGACATTTGAGTTATTTCTACTTTTTGGCTATTGTGAATAATGTTGCCATGAACATCTGTGTGTATTTGAGTACCTGTTTTCAGTTCTTTGGAGTATATACCTGGGTGGAATTGCTAGGTCACATGATATTTTGTGTTTAACTTTTTGAGGAAAACCACCAAACTATTCTCCATGGTGTCTGAACTCTTCTTACATTCCTACAAGCAATGTATGAGGGTTCCAGTTTCTCTACATCCTTGTCAGTACTTGTTATTTTTTAAATTATGGCCATTCTAGTGGGTATAAAGTGATACCTCATGATGATTTTACTGTGTACTTTTCTAGTGACTAATGATGTTACATTTTTTCATGTGCCTATTGGCTATTTGCATGTTTTCTTTGGAGAAATGGTGTTTGCCTTTTTGTTGTTGAGTTGTAAGAGTTTTTTGTATATTTTTGGTATCAGACCTTTATTAGATGGATGACTTGCAAACGATTTCTCCCACTTTGTAGGTCACCTTTTCACATTCTCAATAATGTCCTTTGATGCGCAGAAGCTTTTAATTTTGATGAAGTCCAGTTTATCTGTTTTTTCTTTTGTTGCTCATGTTTTTGGTGTCATGTCTAAGAATTTGGCATATCTTGCCAAATCCTAGGTCATAAAGATATTTACCCCCATTTTACAGTTTTAGCGCTTACATTTAAGTGTTGGTCTATTTTGCGTCAGTTTTTGTACATGGTATGAAGTAGGAGTCCAGTGAGGACTCTTATTTAAAAGTAAAATTTCACGAAACCCCCACATTGTACTTTTAATATCCCTTGATTAAACATATGTACATACCAACCAGAAACTGCTGTGGATTTTGTATTATTTTAAATTATTTTGCATTGTTTTAATCAAGGCAGAACTTACATACATTTAAAAAATAATGCTTGTAAGTATAATATATTTCTCAGTCTATGGGCTATATGTTAGTGATTACATGTGGATTCATGGATTTCCTTCTTGTAAACCTATGGTCCCCTGTGGCCTACAGATCACAGATTTTGTAGGGCAGCATCAGGAGTATCTATGATGATGGGAAGAAAAGGGATTAAGGATGAAGAAAAGGGCAGCATTTCTAAGGGCTCATAACTACAGAAACCTTCAGGGAGAGAGTGGAGATGACTGGAAGGTAGATAACTGGAAGTCAGCGGTGGAATCTGTAAGGGCTGGAGAGGAAGTAATATTCTCTTCCAGGCAATAAGGCTGACTGCAGAGTAGAAATTAAGTGCTGGGGGCGTGGAGGGGAGGTGAAGGGTAAGTTAGGAATATGGTTTGGAATAAGGATGGAGGCTCAAAACATATCACCCGAAAGTGATGGTTTAGGGAGCAGTTGAGGAGTTCTTTAGTTTGGGAAATAAGCCAACCCAACTGTACCCCCAAATGAGGAGTCCAGCTAATTTTGTTTAGCATCTGTCCCAGAGAGGGATAATGAAGAGGCACTAGGGAAATTCTGGATTTTGTTTCAGCCATGACTAGAATGCTGCTTGTTTGAATTAGTAAACTATATTCCATATCAATATTGTGTGTGTATATTTGCTTTTCTTTTAATTTCTTAATAAAATTTCCTAGTAAAAAAATTCCAGTTTTATCTCAGCTGAAAGCATGATGAAAAGAAATTTTTCTCCTCATGTAGATGAGAGAATTAGGTTCTTAGTGTACATGTAGAGCTTAGGGTGGTGCGTTGCATTGGCCTGTGGCATATGATGGAGAGGAAACAGGACACACGGAAGTCAGAACCTTGGAGGGGACATGTGGGGACTGTGGTGCCAGTCAGGGCTAAGAACTTCGCTCCCTCCCTCCAGCCCTCCACAGTGCGCACAAGCTCACCATAAACTTTTTTGTCAGTTCTGTGTTCAAAGGGCTTTCAAGAAAGGGATGAAGGAGAGGATAGATAGGACAAATGACCGTGTCTGAAAGGAAGGTAGAGATAGCGGCCACCGTTTTAGATGTCCTTCTGCTTTAACTAGGCAGATTGTCTACTTTTTCAAACAGAAATGAAAGCTGCCTTACAATAAGTGATTTGGAGAGGTATAAACAAAGGAGTCATAGGTACTTTTACTTCGGTGGTGTCTAAACTTTGAAATTGTATGAATGTTTTTGTTGGCTCTTTTTGTTTGTTTTTAACCACCTATGTGACCTCTGTGACGTTCAGGTGCTACTTGTGAGCAGTAGTCGCCATCCAGACCGATGGATTGTCCCTGGAGGAGGCATGGAGCCTGAGGAGGAGCCGAGTGTGGCAGCAGTCCGTGAAGTCTGCGAGGAGGTATGTACGGAGGAAACAGCACGCCGTACCCTGTAATCGTGAATCTGTCATGTCTGTGTAGTTCTTTAATTTGTCACCACTTACTGAATAAACATACTCATGATCACAGAAAGAAGGCATTTAACAGTTACCATGTGCCTCCTTGATTAAAGGGGTGATCGGGTTGTGACGTGGTAATGTTTACCAGGACCACTCTGTGCTGGGATAGGGCTCACAGCAGTGACTGTATCTAATTAGACCAGACCGCCCCTGGCGATTTCCCGTGAATCTTTTCCAGTATTGCCTCTCTTACCTGTGGCAGAAGATCAAGAATCGAATAGCTCATCAGTTCTAAGAAATATGAACAAGCAGTATTGTATAAATGGTTCATTCTCATTAACCTTTGGCTGAAGAGGAGGCATCCCTTGTTCTCCTGTGCTTCTTGGGTCCTGGCCATAGAACAGTCACTAAAGCAACAATTCTGTTAGCCAGAGCTCTTAATGGTGCAGCTAAAGAGATAATAGTATCTGTTTTTATTTAGTCACATGAGACTCAGCATTCATGTGTTGAGTTTCTGGACCATGCCCAGTATATCTTAGTAGATACTCTAGAATCCATAATCATAAGAAGTAAAGTCTTAGACCCTTAGTTCCCTTACTTCAAGAGCTTACAGTTTGGTTGGGGAAACGGAGAAAGAGATTGCAATTCAAACCAGGAGGAAGGAACTAATGTTTCTCCATCGCCTCTTATGGCGACACCTTGCTTTGTTCTGCTTATGTTATCTCACTTAGGACTCCTCAGTGGTGTGGGTTTTATCAGCCATTTACTTGCTCTTACCACATGGGTAGTGTTTACGATCCATTTCCTTGTTCCAGAGGGGATTTAAGACTGATTCTAAGGACATACAAGATAGCGCTTAGTACAAGTCTAAATTCTACATTTCTTTTGGTCTATCCCTTGCTGAAGTCCTCTTTGACTATTCTGTCCCTTGGAATACTCAAGGAATTCTTTCCTCACTCTCAGCTCATACAGACGGACATTGGCTTATGTCACTCTCAGGTTTATCATACAGTTGGTATCCATAACTAGATTATAATCTCTGAGGACAAAGATTATGTTTCCCATTTTAAATCCCCCTTTCTGTGCCTAGTACACAGTTAGGTGAACAGAAAGTGATTAATACAGGCTTCTGTGACAGATGGCACAATACAAGTCCTGAAGAAATATCCCAAATGGAAATTATCAGCGCTCTTTCTGGAGGATCCCAAAGGTTTGACTTTTGACTTAAGTGTGGTAGGACCAGTTGGTGGACCTAAACTGTATCCTTTTGATTTAAATCCATTTGGCTCCTGTAGGTTCTAAGGCATCTAAGGCAAAAGTGATGTTTGACAGAGTTACTGTGGCAGTTGTGGATTCAAACAGGTTGTCGGAAGACCCAAAATAGAGTGATGGTTCTAGAATAGAGATCAAGGAAAACATTCAGAGACCTTTTTGCAAAACTTGCTACTTGGTTTTAGGAGTTGGGGGTGGGGTGGAGGGGAACCTCTGACAGTTCTGCCTTTGTAGAGGACATTTGCATTAGGTCATGTCTCAGGAAAGCTTCTATTGTTGTTACTATTCTTTTTTTTTTTTTTAAGATTTTATTGGGGAATTGGGGTAATTGGAGGAGGGAACAGTGTTGGGGAATCGGGGAAGGGGAACAGACAGGTTGCTGTCCTTTTTTTGTTCTTCAGTCTAGTTGTGGAGGACGTTGCTTCACTGGCCCATGTTGGTATTATGATCATTGCGCTCTTCCATGCTGAGGCAGATTGGTCGCCAGCCATTGGACGGCCGCTCATGCTGGCTGCCGGCCACTCACGGTAGCTCACGGCAGCCCACTGCAGCCCCACTGCAGCCTACGCCATTGCCGGCCACTCTAACGGCAGCCCAGCTCCAGGTCAAGCTGTTGTTCATCACCTTAGCTGTAGAGGGCGCAGCATCACTGGCCCATGTGGGATCTGAACTGGCAGCCCTGCTGCTCAGAACTCGCGCTTCCAAGCCAACTCTTAACCAATGAGCCACTCGGCCCACCCTTGTTACTATTCTTGTTTTGAGTATTATGGTTGAATTCTCCCTGGGTTATACAAGTGCAGCTAAGATGTAGGAAAGTAGATGGTTGCCATAGGAAATGCAGGAAGGGAGGAGGAAAGGATATAGGACACCTTGCTTATCCTTTTGTTTCCTGGAAATTGCACACTATAGAAGGGAAAATAACGTGAAGTAGGAATTAAGTACTTGTGACAAGAGAAGTGAATGACGTAGCACAGGTAATTAAATTCACATGTTCAGTGTCTTACCTGCCTGCTGGCTTGAAGGGAATCCTCAGCTTGACATTAAATTCAGCCTGCCACTCTCATCCCCAAGGAATCCTGCATGACTTTGAGCACAATTCCCCTGCCAGTCAGAGAGTCTACCATACTCTGTACTTTATTCTAGCATTATTGAGAGGATAGAGACATATCTGTGGATTGCTTGGAGCTTTAGAATAAAGTATCAAATAAATGTTTGTATAAACAATAAAAATTAGAGAAATGTGTCATTACAAAAACAAACATTTCAGTGGCTTCCATCAAAATAAAATGGCAGGGGTGGTTTTTCCAAGTCCATGTCCATCAATAGAGAATAAGACTTAGAATCAGAGAGGATGTAGGTTGATGCTTTTTATTGCCCTTGAAAAGTAGTTTTTGTAAGCAGAAATCACTACTCGGGGGTTTATTTAGTTTTCACAGTGTTATGACTTCTTTAATGTACACATTCAAAAACTTAGTTCTTTCATAATGTGTATAGACCTGATTGCTCTGTAAGCGTAGGAGATTTTACTAGTCATTTTTAAGGGCCTTTGAATAATACGTAGACCAGATGTTTCAGGTTGCATTTGCAAATTTTATATATTGGATTGCTTTTTAAAGAAATTCAGTTGTCTGACTTAAAAAAACCTTATGAAGCTCTTCAACAAAAAAGTCCTGTGAATCTCATATATTAAACTTAGAAATAAGGAAGTCTTCAATTCTTTAAATATTCCCACAGTGTACACAAACTTAAGATTTTCAACTTAAAATTGCATCAGAAATAAATTATTTAATTATACTTCTAAAAATGAGGTTACAGTCTAATAGGCCAAATTCTTTTAAACGTGACAAAATATATCTGGTCCCCTTAACATAGAAATATTTATACTGTGATTTCGATTCTCTTAAACATTTCTATATGTCATTCTAAATATTCCCAGTATTGAAAGATGCTTACCCACCAAAGAAGCCGGCCCTCCCTGTTAAATGAGGCCAGGACTCTTGGGTGCCCTGATAGGAAATGCTGATTAGTTCACTGTTCCCGTCAGGACTCTATTACTTCACAAGGCTGGTGGTGGTCATGGAGTCCCCATGGGTGGGGGTGGGTATTGAGTGAGCAGTCTGTAGTTTCTGGCACACCTGGCTGACTTTGTGTCTCAACCTGAAGGTTACTTCTTTCATGAAGTCTTTATGATTCTACCTATAGATTCATTGTTCTTCCTGTGTTTCCATTGCAGTCGGTACTTCTAGCATCATGGTATTTATCATCCTTTATTGATACTCTCATTTGTCTTCTGTGTTCGACTTCACACTCTGTGCTGTCAGGCACCATTCATTCTTGCTCACTGTTGAATCCCCAGCGCTTGGCACATAGCAAGTGCTTAAGAAAATAAATTGTTGTGTCTTAAAATTATTGACATGACCACTAGAGCCGCCACACAAATGCAGTGGAGGTAGGCCCTTTCAGGTTGCCAGGAGTGAACATACCTACAGGTCCCTCCGTTGAATGAGGAAGAATATGACAGTGTCACAGCAGCTGCCCTGCCAATGTGTGCAGAAATGAACGTTGTGTCCCAGAGGGTGGACGACAGTGGAAAGCAGTGTGGCACAGGAGCCTGGTCATCGCCCCAGTGGCCCAGCCCTTCCCTCCCACTGTGGAGGAGCTGCCTTTCTAACCTCCCCTCAGCCTCTGAGCTCCTGCTTACCACTCTTTGTTTTGCGTTTCTCCAACCTTGTACACCGCTCCACCTGTCCGGTGACTATGTGTATCTCACATTCAGGCTTCCTGCGGAGGATCTGATTGGCTTGACCTAGTTACGACCTTTGGTCAGAGCTGCCGGGCCCCATCATCAGCTAATGGCCATTTTGAAGATTTTGATCTTACCTTTGCATCAGTTACTGATTGCTTACTTAGTCCTCTAGCTGTGCTGAGAGTGGCTACAAAAAGCATAGCAACCTGTGCTTAGGAACTGCCCTGCGGCAGCTTTACCAAGGGTCCTTCCTGTGTGTGTAGTGAAGAGATACCTGTTTACTAACACAGGAAAAGGTTTGCATCCCATCCCTAAGTGATCAAAGCAGATTATGAAACAGTGTTTATGACCTTAAACCATTTGATAGGGAAGAAATGTATATAACTATTTGTATAGAAAGAATAGATAACACTGCTTGTACACTTACTATGTGTCAAGCTCTGTTCTAAGCATTTTTACTTATGTTGCCCCATTTAATCCTCATGAGATCCTACGAGATAGAAACTGTTATCTACATTTCACAGGTGAGAAAAAACTGAGGTTCAGTGAGATTAAATTATTTGTCCACCTTGTGCCCAGCTAAATGTGCTCAAGTGCTCAAGGCATAATTTGAATCCAGAACATCTGGTCACAGCACCCACACTATTGCTGTGCTCCCTGAAAGGATGTTCCCCAAACGTTCAAAGTGGTTATCTTTGGGTTAGTTCATAGATTATCGTGTTTTCTGCATTGAACATACAGTTATTTTGTTACTGGAAAAATTTTCAATATAAACAAACAGGAATGGAGTGAAATTATTAAGTAGTTCGGCATGGCATTGGCAGAACTAGGCACCATTAACTCAGTCTGTTCTGAAGCTTTCTTCAATCAAGCTTAAAAATTTCAGCATAGGGGATGGATTTCATAAACAAATCTGTAGCACTTTAAACATTACCAGTTGCAT